AGGGCTTTCTCCTACTGCTTTCAATTTCTGAAATACCTCCGGCGAGGAATCTCAGTTTGAGGCACTACACTTCGTAGATCTTTATATCATCTACGTAGCATGTAAAAGCAAGCATTATTTCTTCCGGTCCAGACTACTGTTCCTTGGCTCCCTCCATTGCGGTTTACAAAGATGGTTTTGTCTATTCAGATCCGCAATCGCATCGCATCCTGCACGGGATCAGAAAGGAGGAAAGAGTGAGGGTGTTTGCAGGTACCAGTGCAGAGGGCACCAGAGATGGTTTGGCTTCGCATGCTGAATTCTACCAACCTGCTGGACTTCGTGTGAAATTTTACCATGTCTTGTATATATGTGATGCCCGAACCAACTGTATCAAGGTATTCACCACTCTGCATGAAACCGCTGCATTTCTAGATGCAGTCGGAAAGATATGCAGGGCTTTCTACGTCCACGAGAAGCATGCAAAGTACGGGCTTTGCAATCTACAAGATGCCGTTACACTGCTTAAAGAAACATTGCAATATCTTCGCCGAAACGAGGCCTTGATTCGCGGTGAAATCCAAAGCTTGCCAAGGTCACTTTAATGGACTACAGGGAAATGTGGCCGAGAGGACAATAGAGTTTGTTTCATTGTTGCAGTCTGGCCTGCAGAGACTTTATGACCTGTTAGCGCCAATGGGTTGTACTTGGACCAACCTCCTGAGCTGCATGACATTAGATGTAGAGAACTGTCACTCTGTGGTCCATCAGAAATCACCTTTATGCACTGCCCTTGAATATGCCAGGAATTTCGGAAACGCTGTCAAGGAAAGTGTAAAGAAGACAACAAACTGGGCGGCATTTTATTATACCAACCCAAAGTCGTGGTATCCCCTTCCAGACCGGGCAGCGCGACTCATTGAAATATCATAAGCACCACAACTTCCACCTGGGGTAGTAAGTGCCCAAGACGCCCAGCTTATGCGGGAATGGGCACATACCTTTGGGGCTGCAGTTCGTTAAAGAAACGTCCGACAAGAAACGACCATGGCTAGGGCTGGAACGCTCCCCGATTTCTTGTACGAGAAAGACATTGTGCCAGGGGAAAGCGTTGGCCTAACAGGAGATGTCGGCCTTCCTGACGAAAATGATACAAGTAGCAGTGCGGACGAAGAAACCAAAGACCAAGTAGGAGAAGTATCTGTAGGGGTCGCCACTTTGGATGGTGAAGCAAACTTCCTGCTTGGAAGGGTGTCTGCATTTGGTCGTGCTGTTAGATTTAATAACAGGTTTATGTTTTCTTAAAAGAGACCAGTGTGTTAGTTTTATATACAATTTCCATGTCCTAAACTCAATGTAAACAGAATTGGCAGAATTGGCTTCATCGCCAGATCGAAACTAGCAGCAAAGCAGTCGAATCTCCAGCTAAGAGCTTTTTTCTAAGTATGTTAAGTTACTTGAATTATACTTACCTTACACTTTGTGTAAGGAAAGTATAATTCTCAGTACACACATGGATAATAAAGAGAATATCCTGAACCGTATACAGTCCTTATTCAACAAAATCATTATACATCAGTATATCGTTCTGTATACACAATGTATAATGCTTCATGGCACCTCCTTATATTCGACATCTCATGCAGAGAGACAGATAACATCAATCTATCTAATTCCAAAAGTACTGGACTTAAAGTATCGAGGTAAACATGTACCAAGGCGAGGACCAAAAAACAATTAAGCAAAGCAGAAAATAAAGTTATGGTCACTAATTGTGATGTTGAGAACGTGGGCCATCAAAACTGACAATTGATAGAAGGTAAGTCATAACGCCTTTTTCAATGATCAAGCAAAACATGTCAAAAATCTCGTAAAAAAATGGGGCGGGATCGGGATACGGTCCTAAAAAGGGGCGGGATGGCGGGATTGAGATGAAAAAAAGGCGGGAAAGCGGGATTTAAGAACCCCTATTGTGGACCCTCAAATGTGCGAAGTCTGCAGGGGAAAATCGAGCCGGCGATTTGTTAGAGCATGCGGACCTCTCGCTCAGTCACATCGCTCACCGACTCGAAATGCACTTCACCGCTTTTGAGCCAGCTTAAAGGGTAGTACACGTTTGCACAAAAAGCGCGAAAAATTTGCATGAGCTGGTACGTGGGGCGAGTGCAATTTGAAGTCTAAAAATAAACGAGATGGCTTTTAACAAGAGCTTAGGGGTTAGGGGCACTTAAATGATTATTGAAAAGCAAAAATTCATTCAAACCGTGTTTAAATCTCGCTGAAAAAATTGCCATGAATTCTTCACTTTTTTGTACTTTGTAACTTTTCTTCTGCATTTTATCATCTGGAGATTGCATTTCTCGAAGCCAATCAGAATGGAGAAATCTTATCATTTCTATTATCATTATGAAAGTAAGCTTGGAGTAACTCATTTTTAGCTAGTTTTCATTTTTAGCTAGTTTTCTTGAAAGTACGAAGTAATAAGTTCTTACTAAAACATTTAGTGATAAAAACGAGCGATAAAAAATATGAACGACGTTTCGACCGCTCCACGGTCATGTTCAAGTTAGAGTTCATGAGTACTTAGTTTCCGCATATATACGATTTCTGAAACAATGAAATTAATTTAAAAGCTAAGTATTTACATATAAACAATAAAGTTAATAACTAATAACAAAGTACAAAAATGAAGTGTAAATAGGTTGTGAAAAGGATGAAAATTGATTAATATGAAGTGTTAATCAAACAGCTTCCCCGCGAATAGAATCGCTCTGTTTGTTCAATTTTGGCTTAAGGTCGGGACCTTTAGCCAAGATTGAACAAAATATACGAAATATTAAGTCAAATTGTAACCAAAACAGGTCTCATCTGTCGAATTATCTTCTGTCCGATCCTTTCCACCGAATTTTAGGTCAAATTTAGGGGCTTTAGTTTTCGAAATTACGAAAAATAAGACCCTTAGCAAACCACTCTGCAAAATTTCCACAAAGTTGAATTACGACCGTTCAAAGACTATGGTCCATAAAACAACCAAAAACTACTATCATACGTGTGCTAAACGATCCGCTTCTTCTAATAATTAGCAGACATATATTATCAACATTGTGGCGTTATGAAGAGTATGAAAGCCATACGCTTCCTACGTATAATTGTGCACTGAAAATATGCCTTACCCCTATTGGTCTTTAATTTTGTTGGTTATCCTTTAAATCATAAAATTGGCTCTCTGCGATCGAGATTGTGTTACCTGTGACAGAGCTGAATAACTTATGCGCACACGCTAGGTTTTGGCGCGGAAATTCGGATTTTGAGTCGTTCGCATACCTGATTGTCAAGTAGGATAGTGGTTTTTGGTTGTTTTACAGATTATGGTCTTTGAACGGTCTTAATTCGGCTTTATAGAAATTTTACAAAATGGTTTGGTGAGGGTCTTAGTTTTCTTAAATAGGAAAACTAAGAGGGGTCTTAGTTTTCGAAATTACGAAAACTAAGACCCCTGAATTTACCGTTAAATTGACCTAAAACACGGTGGAAAGGATCGGACAGGGGATAATTTGACAGATTATACCTTTTCTAGTTACAATTTGACTTTTTATTTCCGTGTCGATGGATTCGATTTATACCTATTTTGGTTACAATTTGACGAGTGCGGCTGACCGCCATATCTACTTCCGCGCGTTCCGGGGGGGGGGGAGTTACTAGCATATATGGGCCATATTGGTACGTGCCGCGGAATAGGGTATGGTTTTTGAGGTTCTCGGTCCTTAAATAGGGTATCTTTTTTTACCCTTTCGTTTCTGTGTCCATGGTGTGGTCCTTAGATAGGGCAGCTTAATTGTATTATCTAATACTGGAGAGTGAAAACGCCCGCCTAAATGCACGGTTTTTTTTTAAACTTGATGTATCCGTTTAAGTACTGTAACAAATGATTTTGCAACAGAGGTTTGATAGCCATTAAGCGGGTAAATACACGTAACGCCTCTTCAAGCCACATTATGAATTAATGATATGACTGTCGTTCATTTAATTAACAGAACTCTCACAACAAAACTCTGAGCTTAATGAAATTACGAGTGATAGAAGGATAATGTTTAGCCACGATCAAAGTTCAATACGAATGGAGTAGGTAAAGACACTCTAGTACGAATAATCCTGGCTGTAGTCCACTGTAATAAACAGACCGACTGAAAGATGTATCATGGTTATGATTGCATATTATTAAACATGCTTGGCTTATTCTAGTATTCTATGCTTAATACTATACATCCAATGTTACAGAGAAGAAATAAAGTTTTTCTTTTCATGCTATTAATAATTTTGTTTTTTCCTTGAATAGGGTGTCCGAGTTTTTCGGCTTTGGGCTTTAAAAAGGGTATCAGTTTTCGCTTTCTAAGTCCTTAATTAGGGTTAGGGTTCACGAGCCTTCGCGGCACACCCCTCTCCAAAATTCGCGGGAGTACCCCCCGGGCGCGCGTGTCAAAACAAACCAAAACGTAAACCATTCTTTCTGTAAGCTTTGAACAAATCGGCCGTACAAAAAAGGTTCTTATTCCTTATTTATGTACGTTTCTACTTATTGTTAATTACCTGGGTGAATCCAATGTGTCATTTTTGTCGTCGCCGCGTTCTGGTCAAGGCCTAAACTTTACTCGTGGACAGAAATGGTACGAGTCCTACAACCGAGTCAAAAACATTTCAGCGGAAAAAAATTGATGTATTCGCAACCTAGAGTTCAGCACAGTTCGTTAAACGAATCTTTTCGTTTTCTTTTCATGGATTTGCTCTCTCGCAAGACGAACTTCGCTGAAAAGCGGGGGCTGCTCGTAGTCCCGCGATAGCTTGATAGCGCTAAGGGGCTCTAGCGCCTCAGTCTGCTCTGGTGTCAGCGAACCCGCAATAAATATTTCTGCAACTCGTCAGCCATCAGTCAATCTCGAGTGTTGACAATACCTTGACACGTCTCGCCGGATGCTGACATTTCTGAACGATGGCCGAAAACATTTTTGCGTTGTGAGCGCAACGCAAAATTTAAACTCTCTCTCTGTGTCTTTTATTCACGGATTTCGCTGAGAAGGAGGGAGTGCTCGTGGTCTATTCGTGCTGGAGCGCTAATAATAACCAGGGCGTGCTCGCAGGCGGGAGCCCTGAACCACTTCCATTTGTCACGAGCTGTTAACAAATTGCAACAAAAAAGCGGTATGCAAATATCTTTTCTTTGTTTTGATATTTTGCGTATGATTAACTACTAGGCAGTTCAGTTTAAAACACTCGGTGGGCAAATTTTGCCTCTATATAACAGGATCCTCCTGGTTCCTTGAAGGTGAATGCGAAAATCCAACGTTTTCCGGGTTTGACGAGTGCCAACTTTACGCTTAAGCTATCGAATTGCTGTGTCACAGATTGACTTGGAGGCTAAATATTCATACAACCACGGCAATAGATATGATGTAACGCCTCGCTGACAAGAAAAAAACACGTTTGAATCAAAGTACTATCTTGGGATGAGTCATCGCATCAACTAATGTTCACTTCGAAGGGATACAACTCTTCAAGAAAAGTCTATCTTTGTTATGGGTTATCGAATCTGGTTTTGTTTCATTGCTGTGCTCGTGACTCTTGACTCACTGAAGGGGTCACCAATTGGGACTAATCATTCTGAGTTGGATCCACCAGATGTCATTGTTAAGGGTAGCTTCGTGTACAATGCTTTGAACCTATTCCCAAAGAACACACAACAGGAGCTGAAATCTTTGGAGCAGCGACTGAGTGCCCTAGAAAAACCAAAAGGTACAAGTGCATTTTAATTGCTGTGGCAGTGACTTAGTCGCCGGAGTGTCGATCCTTCTGCAGTTTGATTAACAATAATTTCGAACTCGAGTGCGAAACTTGTTCAGTACAGTTTATGGTTCGCAATGCGGTAACCAGTGGATTTTGAAATAGAGTCTTTTTTACACTAGTTGTCTTATTTCAGAGCTCAGGGCTAAGAGTTTTGTATTAACTTTAGTACAGGTAAAGTGAAAATTTGAATATAGCAGGACCCTAGCGATTTGGGGTAATTTTCCGCCGCTCCGCCTTCTGGGATTTAGGTGATTTTCCGCCGTTCTGCCTTTCAGGATTTGGGATGAATTTCCACCAATCCATATTTTAGAATTTGGGGTGAATTTCCGCCATTCCGTCTTTAGGATTTGGGGTGAATTCCCGCCATTCCGTCTTTTAGAATTTGGGGTGAATTCCCGCAATTCCGTCTTTCAGGATTTGGGATGAATTTCCGCCATTTCGTCTTTTAGGATTTGCGGTGAATTTCCGCTATTCCTTCTTTTAGGACTTGGGGTGATTTTCCGCCATTCCTTCTTTTAGGATTTGGGGTAGTTTTCGAAATTTCTGTCATTCCGCTCTTCCGGCTTTTATAGCCGCCCTAGATTTTACTCGCTCTGGCAGGTCAAAATTGACTAATTATGATACTAAAGTCATCAAACATCGAACGTCCCAGCGAACAAGGTTAAAACTTCCTGAGCCTTAAAATGCAAAATTATCAGTTAAAATGCACACATCGTCGAAAAATATGATGCAAAGTCAAGTCAAAGCTTCACTTGATAATTTTTAGACACATATTTGTGAGAAGCAGTAAGTGAACTGTTAAGTAGATCAATTTGATTTGAAATCTTTATTACTATCCAAGTCAAAGCCTGCAAGTTTCTAGTCGCAGTGAATGGCGACACTAGTTCCTAGTTCTGCCGTGTCGTCGGGAAGCTTAAACAGACGAACATCGCGGACGGAATGGCAAACGACAAACGGCTAGCCGACGTTCAGCGTTCGCCGTTTTCGCGGTGCTTAATCTAACTAATTAGGGAGTTTAAGCAAATCACTACGGCTGGCGCTGCTACGGCTATCGTGGTTGACGAGGCTTGGGGAGAGTACGTCGCCGTAGCCCGCCAAAATTCAACTTTAAGCAACGCGAACTACAAANCACTTTGCGTTCGCTGCGTTCTCCATGTGCACACTGCTTCGATCCTTCGACAAACCCGGCGGCAAAAATAAAGGCTGATTCACTCGGTAAGGGACAGCAAGCTTGATAAATATTCCCGATAAGCTATTTTTAAAGATGTTAAGTGTATTTCAATAGTTAAAATTGCTCAGGAGAATGTATAAAGCGAAGAAAGAAGCGAGATAAGTTCACGTACCACAGACTACGCCGAAACCTTCACACTCGCGTAGAAGGATTTCCCGCTACGGCTGGATGGGAACCACTGACATGCGCAATGACTCGTTTCTGGACAATTTTACTTCCGGTAGCCGTAGCAGCGCCAGCCGTAGCGATTTACTTAAACTCCCTATTAATGACAACGAAGCTACGGAAAAAAGGAAAGGAGACTTGATATGATATATTCCTCGCTTTTATTTTCCTTTTTAATTTTTTCTTAATTCTTTTCATAATTTTTCCTATTTTACAGTTGACGTTTTACAGTTGACGTTGACACCGCACGCGTTGCAAAGCAAGTCGCCAAAGCAGCGTTAAAACGACCGTTGGCAACAAAGCGGCTAGGGAAAAAAGTTAAGGAGACTTCGCATGTTTTATTCCTCGCTTTTATTATCTTTTTTTTAAATTTGTCCTTTTTTTAGCGGCCCACACGTACGCTTGAAATTCGATCTTAATATGTTAGTTATTACCGTTAATGCACTTTACACCCCAAAGTCACACACAGTACGCTTGGGCTGCCTGTGGAACAAACGACCAGACACACCTCATGTGTGGGTGCCCTGTGGTCAGATGCGCTTCGATATTTGAATGCCGTAGTAAGGGAAAAAGGATTATGCGTACCTACAAAGCGATTTAGCCAGAATAGATGGTAAAACCGAGCGGCTCTCGGATTGATGCAGCGTAATTTGGAAACTTTAGCCGCGGGAACGGGTAGGTATTAGTAAAGCACTCTCGCGGGTGGAAATTTGAAGGAGATTGGTCGACTTTTGTGGAATTTATCGGCCTTCGAGTGGGGACGGTTGGTGTTTGGAACCGGTTGAAGTTTCCAGTCTTGTGTTTTTATACATACAGTTGACTTGAAGCAACAGATGCACGCGTTACAAAGAAAGTCGCCAAAACAGCGTTAACAAAATCAACCTCGAATTTGACTTCCGTTCCAAACTGTCTTTGCAGATGATGTGCTGTTGCATATAGAGAGTGGGGAACTGTGTGGTGCAGTGTTCTTAGATTTGACCAAGGCATTCGATACCGTTGACCATAAGATCTTGTTATATAAATTGTCGGCTATCGGTGTCTCGCCCAGCACGCTACAGTGGTTCAAGTCCTACCTGAGTCATCTTAAACAGCGGACCTCCTGTGGTGATGCTATGTCTGACCCTCTCCCGATGACCTTATGCTGATGACACGGTCCTGTACTACTCTGCTAAGGAGCCACACCTGTTGGAAGAGGCACTGAATGATGATCTCTTGCAAGTTGCCCAGTGGCTACATGGAAATAAGCTAACTTTGAATCTTACTGAGACGAAATCCATGATTATAGGTAGTAATAGGAAAGTTGTTGGTATTTCCTCTTTCTCATTATCTATTTTTGACACTGACATAAATTCTGTAACTAGTTTTAAATATTTGGGAGTTATGTTGTCCTCAACTTTTACATGGCCCGACCATGTTGAGTATATTTCATGTAAGGTTAATAAGAACCTTGGTCTTTTACGTAGGATTAAGTATTATTTACCTAATAATGCTCGGTTACTTTTGTATAATAGCTTAGTGCTACCTATTTTTGATTATACTGATTTAGTCTGGGGTGACAAGGACAATGTCACACTAAGGAAGGAATTACAAATTCTGCAAAACAAAGCAGCTAAGTTGATATTGGATAGATCACTTCCGCTCCTCATCCACTGATGCATTAACAGTCTTGAGATGGCTGAATCTTGAAGAACGTAGGAAATGTCATCGATGTATATATGCATACAAGTGTATTAATGGCAAAATTAATCATTCTTTGGACATTGTAAGAAAGAGTGATATGCACTCCTACAATACGCGCAATAACGATACTATAAAGCTCCCCAAAATCAAATATAATTGGGGAAAACATCGTTCGCGGTATCACTGTTTCAAATGAGTTAGAGAGAACTGTAAGAAACTCAGTAAGTTTTCCAATTTTAACATGACAACTTCTGCACTGTTTAAGTGTGTACCCACGTTTTGTGGGCCGATTAAGTATTCATATATGCAATCTATTGTTTTTCTAATTGAATATTCATTATTCGCGGCACGAACAATTTCCGAAAATGTAGCTAGCTTGCACGATCGCAAGCGCTTTGATGTTAGGTGTGATATATCTCTTTTGTTTTCAGTTTCATGCTCGATTGATGTTTTGACACACTATTGTTTCGTTAAAGTTAACTTTATAATTAAAAGTGGAACACTAGAACTTTTATCATGCTAAAAGTGTAAGATGATGATGCCATAGCCATTGCGTAGCAAAAAAAATATCGAAGGTTTTGGGTTCGCGATTGAGTCCTCCAGGTCTGGTTTGCTCCACCAGGACTAAACTTCAGAATACCCGGCCACTCATTTACATGTCAATTAATAAGAATAGCATCTATTGTGTTATGCTTCATTCTTCAAAGCCTCCCGACACATTTAAATGATGTGGACGGGTATTCTGAAGTTGAAAACTGCAAATTTTTAAACGTCTTTCCTCTGTAAACTAATAAAAATATTAATGTTTCGCTACTGAAGAACAATACTAACATCTTAACCATTTGACTTTTGCCGCAGCACGTTTTAAAAGTTATACCAACCGTTTATCAAAGAAACGGCGGCAACTTGTTGACATTGAATAAAACGTTAGTTCCCATTAAAAAAAAATTCCCTTTCTCTTTTTTACATTGGAAAGCTTACTGAAGTTTCCAATGTTGCTAAAGAAACCTCATACACAAAAAGTAAACTGATTGGCGTTTGCGAATCGGAACATAGGAAAAGCCCTTCTGTTGACATTAGTGGTCGCGAGCGAAAATATGCTAAGCAGCCGCAGAAATCCGTTTCTCCGCTTTACCGCAACCAAAAGTTTCGTTTAAAAAGCTTTTGAAATGCTTCTCAACACTTAATCGAAAGTGAAATCGTTATTTTAGTGTGAAACGTTTAGTTGCAGAAAAACACAAGGTGATATTTTTGGTAAACGCGAATTAAATATAAACAAATGGATACTAATTTGATGCCACGCAATTAACCCGCTTTGTTAAAGCCTTTTGAAAAAGAATAATAGCTTCTCCGCCCAAAAGTCGTAAGTTCTTCCATCAACAGCCTCCTTACTCTCATCGGATAAAGGCCGAACGCGAGCGAACGGCTCTCGGAAATGCAGTTTTGAGCCCTCGTAGTAAAAATGCCAGCGGGTACCCCCATTTCAGAAAGACACACTTAAACCGTCGTGAAGTTGTAATGAGAAGTGTCTTTTTTCTGCTTTTTATAATTAAGAATTTTTTTAAATTAATTTTTGCAGTGTATATGTTGTAATCATTTTTATATTTCGATTTTAGCTCAAATTTCTATATTTTAATTGTATTTTTATATAATACACATCTAGTATTTAGGACCTCGATGTAAATCAGTATTGTGATGGAGCTTTCTAATAAAAGATTCTATTATTCATATCGCCGCTTGTTGAAATTTCTAGACAATGGTCGAAAACATTTTTGCGTTGTGAGTTCAACGCAAAATTTAAACACTCTGTCTTTTTTTTTTTTTCACGGATTTCGCCGAAAAGAGAGACTTATTCGTACTGGAGCGCTAATTAGTAATAACCAAGGCGTGCTTCTAGGCGGGAGTCCTGAACCGCTTCCATTTGCCACGAGCTGTTAACAAATTGTGACAAAAAAGCAGTATGCAAATATCTTTTCTGTGTTTTAATTTTTTACGTATGATTAGGCAATTTAGGTTAAAACACTCGGAGGGCAAATTTTGCCTTTATATAACAGGTTCCTCTTGGTTCCTTGCAGGCAAATTCGAAAATCCAACTTTTTCCGGGTTTGACGAGTGCCAACTTCATGCTTAAGCCATCGAATTGCTGTGTCAGATTGACTTGGAGGCTAAATATTCACACAACCACAGCAATAGATATGTTGTGACGCCTGACAAGAAAAAAAACACGTTTGAATCAAAGTACTAACTTGGGATGAGTCATCGCATCAACTAATATTCACTTCGTAAGGTTACAACTCTACAAGAAACGTCTTTCTTTGTTATGGGTTATCAAATCTGGTTTTGTTTCATTGCTGCACTTGTGACTCTTGACTCAGTGAAGGGGTCACCAGTAGTCATTGTTAAGTGTAGCTCCGTGTGCAATGCTTCGAACCTACGCTTAAAGAACATACAACAAAAGCTGAAATCTTTGGAGCAGCGACTGAGTGCCCTGGAAAAACCAAAAGGTACAAGTGCATTTTAATTACTGTGGTAGTGACTTAGTTGCCGGAGTGTCGATCCTTCTGCAGTTTGGTTAAGAACAATTTCGAATTCGAGTGCGAAACTTATTCAGTACAGTTAATGGTTCGCAATGCGGTAACCAGTGGATTTTTATAGTAGGTGTCTTCGCTCAGAGCTCAGGGCTAAGAATAACTTCAGTACAGGTGAAGTGAAAATTTCATTATAGCAAGACCCTAAGGATTTGGGGTAATTTTCCGCCGCTTCGTCTTTAAGGATTTAGGTGATTTTCCACCGTTCCGCCTCTAAGAATTTGGATGAATTTCCGCCATTCCTCCATTTAGGATTTAGGTTGATTTTCCGCCACTCGGTCTTTTACGATTTGGGGTGAATTTCTGCCATTCCGTCTTTTAAGATTTGGGGTGAGTTTCCGCCATTCCTTCTTTTAGGATTTGGGGTAATTTTCCGTCATTCCGCTCTTCCGGCTTTTATAGTTGCCCTACATTTTACTCGCTCTGATAGGTCACAAATAAACGCTAAATTAGAGTTATAACAACTCTGTGCTGATGATACTAAAGTCGTCAAAAAAGCGGACATCCCAGCGAAAGAGCTAAAAACTAAAAAGTGTCACCTTAGCCTTAAACTCCAAAATCATCAGCGAAAATACACACATTGTCGAAATATATGATACCAAGTCAAGTCAAACCTTTACTTGTTTGTTGTTAGACACACATTTGTGAGAAGCAGTAAGTGAACTGTTAAGTAGATCAATTTGACTTGAAATCTTTATTACACTATCCAAGTCAAAGCCTGCAAGTTCGACTTTGAACGCGGAATAGGGGCCTGGGCGAAAACTGGTACAGTGTTCAATAACCAGCCGACCTACGGTGACAACCCTACTGCTCGGAGTCGGGGACAACCTGCCAACCAGCAAGGGAACTGGTGGATTGGAGGATACGAGAACAGACCTTCTAGGTCTTCTTCTGGAGGAAAAACACAAGGAGACGGGCCACAGGGAACTCTAACCTCTCCACCGTTCAAAATAAAGGGCGAGTACATCTCATTCCTAATTGGAGGAGGCTGTAATATCAAATCGATTCGAGCAGAGTTGATCATTGGATGGAAGGTAAGAATGTACGCGACGGTCACTAGAACGCTTTCTACTGGCCACGCCACCTTAATGCCCTTCCAAGAATAACAATTACAGAAAATTCTAAGATCTTCTAAGAGATCTTTAAAAAGGTCAGAGATTGCTAAAATCTTTAAGGATGGGAGAATGAATCTACGAAAACTGGGAAAGAATTAATATCAACACGAGATGTACAATTATCGTTCAGTTAATTTCAGCTGCACAGCTTTCAGCTCTACCATGCGTTTATTCAACTGAGTTAAGAGTTTTCTTGAATGGTTAGAGACTGGATGTGGAGACGTTTCACAGTTTTAAAGCCTAATGGTTGTCCATTTTGCTCGCAAAATTAATAATAGTAAGTGATATAATCCAATGGTGATACTCATTCGAGGACGTTTTATCCTCCTTTTTCCTTCACCTTATCCACACCATATCTGTCATATTTTAGGTGGTGAAACGAGCCACTGGAAAATGTCATGAGACGATGACTCGAAAGTTCTGGGATGTTAGAGCTTTCATTGGTAAAAGTGCGCGCGTCAAACTGGTTGACTTCAGCTCTGGAGGATGGGGCCACATTAATTTTGATGATCTTAGGGGTGATATAAGCTGCCAGTAACACCGAAAAAAAATTTTCTATGCTTTCTCGAGCTGTGAGGTGTTTAAATGGAAAAAGGGGAGTTGAATTATTAATTAAAGGTTTTAAAAACTCAGTGTAAAACGTTTATAAAAGTGGGAATAAAGTCATCTAACATGGTAAATTTTTGTCAGTAGTTTTTGTTCTTGCGGTATTTAGGATAGAAGAGAGGTCACGTACAGATCAACCACACTAACTTGAAGATATTCGCTGAAGCAATAAACAAACGAGCATTAGAGAAACACGATTTATATTCTAATGACACTGAAACGATTATAAAATATTTTGTAACTAATCTAAATAATCACAAAACACAGAATAGGAGCGGGCATCTCGTTTATTGATGCAGCGAGCGTAAAGCGTTACAAAAACAGCATTACAGTTTTACAAACTCAGAGAAAATTACAACAGTAAGTAAGATAAAAAACTAGGGTTGAAAGAGATGCCTCGAATGGTTCTTGCATAACTTAACGAACCTTAAATAGTGTACTAGTCCCTTGAGACGCCTTACAAGAACGCTTAAAATACTTCAGCAGTATTAAATTTATGCAACCTAATATACATACTCTTGTGAAACTAACAAAACGTTACAAAATATGTTTTCTTCAGTTAGGCTGAATGGGCCATGTGGTTCGAGTGCAGTCATTTTCTTCTCTCCAATTATTGGATAGAAAAAGTCAGTCATTGACTGCACGCACGAAAGCTGATATAGAGGAACGGACTTAAGCAATGGTTGTGCGAGAGACCACCTCTCGTGATGGATTTTGTTTTGTTCCCTAGACCACGACACTGTTTCCATATTGCCACCCCCCAGTCAGATTTATAAGCAGTTATCAGTAAACTGTCAAGGAATCACGACGAAACGCTTAGGAATGGCTACCTTTGAACGACCGGTATTTCATTCAAGAGGAATATAGCCTTCTTCCTTGTCACTTTACGACGTTTACATGAGAGCTAAGCTCATACTTTGATCTTTAATTCTCCCTATCCTTCCAAGAACTTTCATAACCTGTGTAGATGCAATCTGCTGATCCAAATCGAAAACCAAGTGCAAAGCTGGAAAAATGGAAAGGATCTTTGTGATAAAATAGTTCCACTGTTTGATTCTTTATTCTATTAAAGTGTTTTAGCGTGCATTAAATTTTGTCCTCTTCACAACTTATGTCTCCTCCAAGAAGATCAAAGTTGATATGACCCCATCCTTCCGAGCTGTTATCTACCAGTCTGACACGGGCTCTTTGACCGATGAAATTCTGAACATCCCAGCTTTTAAGACGCATTGACTCATTGCAATTTCCGGTCTTAATTCTGACCACCTGCAAAAGTACAGTAAGACACAATCTTTACCTGTCACACGTGACTCAGGTTAGAAAGGAACCTGAATTTGTGTTAGGCGCTGACGACTAAGTGTTGCAAAACCAAAGTCAATCATGTTTACCTCTCGGTCTCGTGCATTTTCATTATTTGTTTCACATATCTACCCCGGGTTCTTTTTGGTTATTTGAAATAATGACACTGTTTTAGTCGGCCGTTTTGTATTTATCTCGTTTTATTTCAATAAAAAAAAAATAAAAATGAACGATTCAAATATCGTCTTCGTGAAGAGAATCTCAAATGCGTTGTAGAGTTTAATTCCTTTCCCTCTGTGCCTACACAAATTTTCCCTCCATCACCTGGTAAGTAAGTGGTTGTTGTTGACAAAAGCTTCCTTACCTCTCCACCAAAGAAGGTTATAGTTGTTATTAAAGCCATTGCCGAGGATTTCTAATTTTTCGCTGAGGTACTCGGCTAAGGGTCGATACTTCAACCTTTTGTGCTCTTAACAAAAGAGCTTACTTTCCTCAAACAAAGAAAATTACAATAAATGGGGCGTTTTTGTGCCCTTTCGTTAGCCCAGAATCTTCCCAAAGTTTGATAGGGCTTATCTTTCCATTCCTTTTGGTAGTGTTTTAAACATCATGTTAATAAATATCATGGGGGTTCCGTAACACAAGCCACCACTCTCTACCTGATTGTTGATGACCAACTCTGCTCTTGCGCTGTTCATTTTGCAACCCCCACCAATCAGAAAGGTGATATTGGGGCCATTGATTTTAAACGACGGAGAAATGAGGGTACCACGTGGCCGGTCTCCCTGAACTTTCCCGGGGGATGCAACTTTGGAAGGTCTGTCCTCGAATCCTCCAATCCACCAGTCCCCTTGCTGTTTGGCAGGTTGTCCCCGTTTCCGAGCTGTAGGGTTGTCACCGTAGGTCGGCTGGTTATTGAAGGCTGTGCCAGTCTTTTCCCATCCATCTATTCCATTCTCGAAATCGAACGTACAAGCTATAAAAAAGGAACAAGTTATATTAAAGAAAAGAAATCTTTGGCAATGGAATACTTCAGGAAGAGACGCACAATCGACTGATTTATCTTAGGTAGTGTAAAAATCCCGGCTTTGACGAAATTCTTTCCGCTGCAATTTTTCAACAATATTTGAGCAAAGGTCACTGAGAGCTGAGAGATCAAGATAACAAGTATCACTTTCAGCTTACAAGGATGATCACACAAAAAAGTATTTCCTCAAGCGTTTCTTCACTTTGGAGATAAATGTTGCAAGGTCCTCGCTGGCTGCTGGAATGTTTTTCATGAAAATCATTGAACTATCGTGTTGAAATTTTAATTTGATTGGCCATGCAGTCGTTACTCCTCACTTTTGTGCTCTTAGTAACGAGAATCATTGTACTGCGGAAGGGCATGGGCAGGGATATGGGCAATCCCTTCACTGAGAGATTTTTTTTAGCCGTTGATCAAGGTTCTTTATATCCAGCAAATCTGCTAATTATACAAGATGGTACACCAGAATGATAAGGAGATGTTAGTAACTAGCACTTTTCCCTCTTTCACATTTTCAGCCATTGTTCTCAATGAGTTCAAGATGCGAGATAGCGTGTGTTTGGTCAAACAAAGACACAGCTCTGTTATGACGAGTTATTACTCTGGAGGCTTATGCAAAGGCGTGGCAGTAATTCTTCAAAACCTTCTTATAAACATAGCACGATAAGGAAACAGTCTGACGACAAAGGCTCACGTTGGAGATCGCGGAATTTCTGGGTCATGATTACGGTAGTTCTATCTAACCTTTGAGTTTATGAATCAGTATAAAGGTGACCTCAGAGTACATGTGGAAAAAGAAGAAAACGAAATGTTAGCCGACCTTGGCAGCGTGGTCCAGCAAATCCCGCCTTGCAAACACAGTGGAAAGAAAGCTGTGCAGTATCGTGGACACAGATCCCATTGTTCAGACACGGGTTGCCATGGCATGAAGGCTGCAAGTATAAGAAGGACAAGAAGAAAGGATTGCATGTACGAGTGTTTTGAACAGGTGGAGGATTGTGTTCAGGATTGAAAAGGTTAATTTGCAATTTTCCAATGAAATAGCAAAGACCATGATTGCTATTGTTTTAAGTTCGTAATTGGCCTTAAAGAAAATTAGAGCGACCATGGTCCCTTTATCTCATGATTCTGAAAATTTCACAAAAAAATAAAAACTAAAACCTATGCTAAGCAGTTATCATACATATATTAAGTGGTCGGTTGTCAAAGTCCTGAACTTTTTTCCCTCAGTTATTGTGATTTTAGCCCCTATTAAGCGGTCACCTTTATTAACCGAGTCCTGACGGCTTGTTTGTATTGTCTTCGACCAGTACTGAACGGTCAATCAAACCAAACCAGTTGGAACCATTCAAAGAAAACTAAGAATTATCTTTCAAGGAAAAAAAGGAGATCATAATCTCTTCACTTGAAATGCTATCCATGTCTAACTCTCGAAATCGATGTACACAAGGAGGTCAATTATGGGATAAAATGTTTTTTTGCCTGTCGTTTTTTATACTCCCCCTCAAACTCCCCCCCCCCCCTTATTCTGTGTATCCTGTATTAAGTGGTCAACCTGCCATTCCCTATGGGTGACCGCTTAAACAGGTTTGACTGTAGGGAGGTGTTACTTCGGATTGGTCTGTGACTGTTATAGAAAAAACCTTACGAAAGAGACGAAACATGCAACATGAGTATTGATGGTTTTAACCGTTTTTATCTTAAGTTTATGATATTTTAATCAAAAGTCCACTTGTACAAGTCTGAGTGTATCAAAACGTCTAAGATTTTATAATCATAAGTAATGGTTGTAGTTCTGTTAGATTTTTAGCAGTCGAAACAACCAATAACGTTAAACACGAAGGCGCGCTATAAAAGGAGCCTTAGGTCCCACTGGACCATTTGTCAATCAACCGTCGTGTGCTGTAGAACTCTTAGAGTAAAGTCAGCTTGAGCTACAGCTACTCCAAAGCAGTGAACAGCGGGAGCATTCCTTAAAATTGTTTTATGTCTTCATCACAATACAAGAATTTTTGAGATTTGTATTTCCTTTCTCCAGTGGAAACTGTCTTTATTTGTGGCAGTAAATTTGAGATCGAAGTAGGTGGTTCGCACATTACCTCATGCCACCATGCTGGTGGAAGTAAACAATAGATATCTCATTAGCTCCTTTTGTTCGTCTACCAGCATTTAAATTTGACCCGCACACGTCAACGGTGAGTGACAAATGAGCCTAGGTCTTCCCAGGGAAGACTTCCTTATATAGCGCGCCTTCGTGTTTAACACCGCCTAAAGAAATTACAGAACCTGCAATTGCAAGATGTTTTTCAAAAACCAAATTAATTACTTCAACTGAGGATGTATATAAACCACACAGTTAGGTCTGTCAAAAAAATTCTTTCAGAGCAGTTTTAAAAGTTAAGTTTGCAAAACCTTCGTAATACTAATGATGATGATAATAATAATAATAATAAAAATAAAATACTTATATAACGCCTATCCTTTTCAGTGCTAAGCGCTTCACAATGCTTTAAAAAGGACTAAAATCGTAGACCTATATATATACATAATAACAAAATTACAAAATGGAGAACCTAGGATAGTTCATAAACTTGCTTAAAAAGAAAGGTCTTCACTCTAGATTTGAACTTGTTTACACCGTCGATTGATCTAATGTCAAAAGGTAAATCGTTCCAAAATAAAGGAGCAATAACTGAGAAAGCCCTTAAACCATATGTCTTTAAGTTATAGGGTTTGATAATAAGACGCCACTAGTCTGAAGATGAGCGAAGGTACCTCGTACATTGATTAAGTCAGAAAAGTTGTAATTAATCAAAATAATTTTTTTGATTTTCAGCATCTTTGTTCTTGCGAATGTTCATTTTTACCCCTAAGATTGATCTTAAATCAAATCTCCTTAATACGGACTTTAAGTAGTCAGGAGGGCAACGCCACGGAAGACGTCGATTAAAAAATGAGTTTCTACTTTTAGTTAGAATTTCAAAAATGGCTGCATGAGCTTACTGTCTCATACGGCGCCACAGCTCAACTTCAGCATGACGTACAAAAGTAGCGTTGAGTTCCAAATGGAAATTAAAATAATTTGCCGTCGCGGTTTCGGTTCGTAGACGACGCAAATTTTGATGATTTCACGTTGTTGTTCTACATAGGACGGCTAAGAAATGTACAAAGTTTCAAAATGCACCATCCTCGGAGACCCACGGGCTGTGAGTCGATTTCAAGTTAAGGGCAGAACAGCCCCTGGGGACATCGTTTTACAAGACTAGTTCCAAACGGTCGCAGTCGTTCTGGCATCTGATTGGTGCCAGAAAATTTTTGTGTTTTTCTGCCTAATCAGAGTGCAGTGTCGTTTGGAGTCCTTTCGTGTGTTTTAACACGCACATATTCAACAAGCTCTGTTGCTCACTATGTTTGTTTGGGCTGTGCGACGAAGCTTTACCCGAGGTGAAAAGTTTCAGTCTCAGCACACAATGCAAGAGAAATCGATCAGATTGTCCGCGAAATCTTACCGGAAATTATACTGAATACTTTCGCAGGTATCACAAGAGAACGAGTTTAAAAGTTTGCGAGGTTCGTATAAAACATAATGGTTGCAAGCATTGATATGTCGCTATAAACGTTAGATGAGATGTAAGCCTAAATCTTTCAAGATTTTTTGTATAATTTGCTGTCACTGAAACTTTTCCNGTCCAGTCCAGTCCAGTCCAGTCCAGTCCAGTCCAGTCCAGTCCAGTCCACGAAATACCATATGCCGCAAATGTCAGCTTAGTACAGGGTGGGCCCGTGCAACGAAATAGCTTCACGGGATTGGAAAAGTTTCAGTGACAGCAAATTATACAAAAAATCTTGAAAGATTTAGGCTTACATCTCATCTAACGTTTATAGCGACATATCAATGCTTGCAACCATTATGTTTTATACGAACCTCGCAAACTTTTAAACTCGTTGTCTTGTGATACCTGCGAAAGTATTCAGTATAATTTCCGGTAATATTTCGCTGACAATCTGATCGATTTCTCTTACATTGTGTGCTAAGACTGAAACTTTTCACCTCGGGTAAAGCTTCGTCGCACAGCCCAAACAAACATAGCGAGCAACAGAGCTTGTTGAATATGTGCGTGTTAAAATACGCGAAAGGACTCCAAACGACACTTCACTCTGATTGGGCAGAAAAACACAAAAATTTTCTGGCACCAATCAGATGCCAGAACGACTGCGACCGTTTGTAACTAGTCTTATAAGACAATGTCCCCAGGGGCTCTTCTACCCTTAACTTGAAATCGACTCACTGCCCATGGGTCTCCGAGGATGAAAACGCACGTGCTGGGCCATTGTTCTGCCAATTAGATCTATTGTTTTACCACGTTCTCGTTGCCGTCGCCGTCATGGTTTGCTTAAAGTCCCTACTATCTGCCATACAGCCCTTCTAATCTTAGATCTGATATCATCCTTACGGCTTAGGTGATGTAGATTTTTAGTCTCAATACCTGTCTGTTTACAGCGCGTTGATATTGTGCCGGAGAAATCATATATCGGTCAACTTTAGGAGTGAGGGGTCAACTATTCTTGGGACTCTGAAAGCTTAGGCTAGCTGTCAGCGAATAAATTAAAGACTTATCATAAAAAATAGACTACAAATCAATTAGTTTTTCATTTCATTTTTTCTTTTAATAAGTCACCTTTGTTGATATATTCCCCTCTTTTTCTTTGTTATGCACGGGAAAGATCATCTTTGAACGACAGTGACGCGACTTTGTTTATTTTCATCAAGGAGAAATTAATAATGTAGACATCTTTTATGCCTAAAATCATCGAAATGGAAAACTGAATGTCTCATTAATATTTCTATACCTGTACACATTTGGCTTTTTTTTTTTCGGAACAAGGAATATGAACATATTATTTTCATGAAATACGAATTGTATTTTTTTCAGAAACCAACTGAATAGAACAAATATTCGGTAACGATTGACACCAAGGCACATAAATTGAGGATAAAGATCTGCGGTGATAATTATGAAATCGAAACTAGAAGATAAGAAACAGTAAATTAAAATAGATTAAATTAAAATTTCTTTATTGCAACAAAGCCGTAAGCTCGGAGAGAAAAGGCAAACAATAGAAAAAAGAGGAAACTGATGTCTTCCTTATCAAAGTAAACGCTTTTAGCTCTTTAACTGAGTAAAATTACACGCGAATTTAACGAGTTTCCTTTTAATGAATACGCATGTTTTTGTGAAAACTATGAAACCGACGTTTCAAGTTTCGTTTGAGTCCAACTTTTAAACAGTATCAACTAAGAAGTCATGTCTAGGCAGAAAAAGTCGACCAGATCAATTAATGTAGAAAAAGTGATTACCCTCTGCAGGCGTTTGTCGTTTCGCTAGCTCACAGCATTCAAGCAATTTTAGCTTCGAGTGAAGTGACAAAATTTTTGTTTCAGGTATTGTTCACTGCCGTTGTTCTCTAATAAAATGCTTTTAAAGAAATGAATTCATCATTTTTGCTGTGACGTCGTGTCAAATGGATCTGTTTTGAAAACCCAGCTTACACAAAAACCTACTCGTTACAAAAGCCCCAAACCTTTTCTAGAAATATCTCACTTTTCTTATTACGTAAAATTTTTCTAGAAGACCGTTTACCTTTAAGATTAGGGAAAAAGTGACGCCATCCTCTTGATGTAAGCTCGCCCTTCCGTCAACGGAGGAATAACTGTGCTTGTTCAGTCCACAGGTTCCCATTTTTCCTCTGTGAGAGGGCGCCTTGAAATTCGTAGAAGTACACCATGCTCTCCTTATGCACATCTGGTTACAAAACAACAAACTGGCGGACTGAAAACGTTCAACAACGTAGCTATGAAGACGGTTATTATTCATGATCGTGAAGTAAGCCGAACGAGAGAATGCGAAAGAGTTTTCTTTGGGAGAAACTTCGCCATTCATCGTTCTTTGAAAGGCTATGAGAATTATAGCGTGTAGAGCCCTCCTCAGCATTGTTAACAGTCACTCCTGTTTTCAAATATTCTATCGAAACCGTCAAACTTTGAGATGGTTTTTTTTTTTCTTTTTCTTTGCTGAAATAGAAAATGGTCCTTGCAATTGTTAAATAGAAATCGAGAGATACTCAGCCGAACAACACTCCTACACTTTACCCCCGTCAAACTGTAGAGCCACGCATGTCTAGTTTGCCTCAATTCGAATTTTGTACTTGCGAAACAAAAGCCTTATTGACGAATCGCCGGTTATTCCCTACGCTTGCTAAGAAATCGCAAACTGTCCTGCTGCGTGGGTCAGCCAAGGTCACCACCGGCCAATCCGTTTGAGGGGTGACTGTCATTTGCAGGCCCCATCTCAATTTCGCCAATTTCAACGTGTAAATCAGCAATGGGGATAATCTTGAGACTCGCTGGAAACACCCGATTGCAAACTGGAACTCAATATCAATTACATCTGGCGCGAAACCAAATTCAAGAGATATCTAAAGGTATGAACTGAATTTTAAGTCTGCAGCCGTGCCAAATTGATCTCAGGACACAAGGCCGTACCCGTATGCCGGTCTCCTTTGTATGACCCAGGATGGGAAGCTGATCCATCCCAAGATTCCCTGACAAGTGAATGGTACCGGCTCAAGAGTGAAGAATGAATGCTCGAACCAGGACCCCTCAACCAGAAGTCCAGCGAGCCAGGCCACCGCCTCTGTGAATATAAGCATTTCTGTAGTCCTAATTGGTTGTCTAAATATTTTCGTTGGATCATATTTTTATGGACAGCTGTTACCACCAGACATACATCAATGTAAACGATTTAGATTAAAAAGAAATTTGACGGTCAATATAAAGAGATGTCAGCCAAAACACAAATCACGGGACAACCGCTCGAATGACATAGGAAAAAATTAAATGGTTTAGTCATTTCAGAAACTGGTACAGTTGACCTGGTTGAATTGGTTTGATAAAATCACGGAGAGTCCAACAACAAAAAGAACGACAGACAAACAAACAAACAAACAAAAAAGAAGCAAAAAAATCCAGCTGTATGTTATTAAGTTGCTCTTGTTGTTATGTTTGTTTGTTTGTTTTTGGAGGGAAACGAAGGTTTCTACGGAACTAATAGTAAAGAAATAATCATAGGGTAAAACCAAACAACGAATCGGCCATTAGTAAGTCAAACCTCTCATAGTACCGTACTACATACCAAAGCATTTGCAAATCTCCACAACACTTGTCGATGATCTCAAAATCTTAAAGTTGCTTGAAATATCTGCATCAGTAACTGCAAACCTTTGATTTGATTCGGCTTTATCCGTACTAATGCCGAGTAGGGTCAAATCAATCGATTAGACAAACAAAATCAGATATAAAAAATCAGTTAAAATGTTGCCTGAATTGATCAGTGTAGTGAAAAAGGAAAAAAAATGGCAGCTCTGCCAGTAACAGCTACGGTTACACGTATATTAGAAGATATGATTGTGGTTATCTTATAGCAGAAAACTGCCCTCAAAAATTCATCAAAACCGAAAGACAGAATTAGCAAATCATGGGAAAAAAAAAAAAAACACCCTACAACCGCATTGCCGAAACCGAAAAACCGACACTGTTTGAGTGCTACCTCCAGAAAACCGAAAATCACGATGTAACCATCGTATACACATGGGTAAAGAAAAGCTTACACTTATGTCCATTCTGTGGATGTAATTTGAAATAAGGTTAAGGCATATTTGCTCTTCAATCATCGACACGTTCCGCGTCCAAGAGTCCGATCCAATGATATATTTGACGTCGTGACATACTGAGGGGGAGGGAATGCATCTCAACAACCGTGAAATTCGACAGTACAAGATTTTCGACATAAAAACACTATATCAAATGGCAAAGTTCAAACTTGTTATCTAGTATTTTATTATACATTTGTACTGTTAATATATGTCATTTAACACTTCAACCATTTTCGACCGTTACGTATCCCAATTTTCTTTCTAATTTACGGTGCACTAATTACCGTCTGGGTACCATGGCAGGGACAGTTGTGTCACTTTAAGAGTCACGACACTTGAACAAAATGGACCCCACTAGTTTATCGAAGAGAGGCATTATTGTTTATCTCGATTTTCATCGACGTGTAACATCATCACAAGACCAGGTCTCATGTTACTTACACGCTATTACAGTCCGGGGGCATTAAATTTATTTTATACCGAACATGGCTGATCTTTCGGCGTCCACTACAAGACGAGGCGGTGAAGATTTACCTGAACATGGTCTCAATTCGGACGATTTAGCAGAAATCCGTCAAACCTGGGACGCGGAAGAGAGCGAGGTGGAAGAATTTGTAGCCAATGAGTCCAAAGGTCGTCGTCAAAATCTCTCTTCGTTGATTTCAGGAAACGCGAGCGTTTCCTCGAGCCATGGAATTCCAACGTACTCGTTGTACACAGTGCAAGTTGCAAAGAGTATCTGCCTATTTGTTTGCTTTTTTGGATTGGTGAGCTTGTAGTTATGAATGTAATTAGTGATATGTACTTTAACTTAAGACTGCTGACGTGTGAAATATCTTCCGAATCCACAGAGTATCTCGTGTAAGAGCGATTTGTTCATGAAAACAGATTCTTGGTTTATCTGATTCCTCCATAGGAAAATTTTCCTATTTTTTAAAGATGATTTCAGCCATGAAAACATAAAAGATACAATAAATAAAAAAATAGATAAATAAATAAATATATCATAAAAAGGGGATTGAATAATAGATGGACGAATGAACGAATTTTACCATAGCTTGATACAATTGCACACATAATTTTTGCCACTCTCTAAGCCAGTAATTGACATGGTAGTTTGCCTCAGTGAGAGATAGTGTAATCTACATTCTAGAATGCTGGGCTCCAGATGATTTGCTTTAAGTTGAGGTCCAGACTGGCTCAAGACAAGCACATAGCTGGGTTAGTGCTTTTCTCTACCCAGGGGGAGAAGTAAGTCTGTTAGTAAGAGAAACCTGGAAAAACACTGAGGTATAAGGGTCAGAGGAGTGTTTTGAAATGTGTGTGAGCTTATCTTTCACTCATACCCCTACTACTATGTTCCAAAATGCCCTTTGCATTGTTCATTTGGGGAGCAGAGATGGTGCAGTGGTAAGAGCACTTGCCTCCCATCACTGTGGCCCAGTTCAATTCCTGGACCTGGCATCACATGTGGGTTGAATTTGTTGTTGGTTCTTGTCCTTGCTCTGAGGGATTTTCTCTGGGTCCTCTGGTTTTCCTCCCTCCACAAAAACCAACCAAATTCCAATTCTATCTGGAAACAGTGGACAAGAAGAGCCATCCAGTGGAATGCCCACTGCTAAATTATTTTTATGTTTATTTAATATTTATTCATTGGCACAAAAAAACTTCTTTGCAATCTTTACAGTTTTGAGTGGGTCTGCAATCGACTTGTGACTTTCTTTCATTTTTTCCAGTACAGTCTAAGATCTTGTACCTTTGCATTTGAATGATTCCTATCAATGAAATAATTAAATAATATTCTTGTCTAACTTCCTAGACATGCTGTCTGGTTTAATGGAAAATTGCTCCAGTTAATTAGCTTCTCGAACACAGGCTGGAGCTGTTTAAAAAAAAAAAAGGCTTTACAACATATTATTTCAGCAAGTGGAATGTTAATGATATAAGGAATTGTGAAAAGAACATGAGATGGAATATTTTGCCAATTTATTATGCTGCTTTTTAAAAGCAATAATTATTTTTTCAGCACCTAAACATGGGGTGGCTGTAAGTCTGGGGAGACTATGATCCCTCCCTGCCCATCCTGCTCAACTGCCTATACATAGTTCTATAAGAATCCAAATCTAGATTGGCAGTAGTGGCCACGCCCAGGTTGTGTGATGCCATTGTTTTTCAGGGTTTTTATTAACTGAATAAGCCATTTTACATACCAATATCTAAATTGCTATATCTCAAAGAAATTGATTGCCATGAATCAGATTTTGAGATCTTAACTACCCAATAGGATGAGCCTTTCAATGCCAAAAGAAAAAAATCCTCAAACATTTAATGCCTCAGACTAACAAAGACATAAAAAGTGTTGCGGACGTGACCTTCAGGGTATGATTCAGAGCAACATTTATTTAATTTCTATGTAGGTTCTCAACTGTTTCAGGTCTTATTTATGCTGCTCTTATTGTTAAGTATTATGATAATTTTGACACCCCAGCTTGCTCAAATTTGTCAACCATTTAAGAGATATCGGGTTGCGGACGTGACCGTTGCAGACATGACACATTTTTAAAAACCCAGAAAACCTCATAAAATTTTCAAACATGAGAAGATATGTTGATATTTAATGACATCAAATGATAATTATAGACATATGATATATGTAAGGCTATCACTTTTTTAAAATTCTCCAAAAATATATAAATGGCCTTTGAGGTACAAAATGACCTAGATCATCAAAGTTTTAATATTTTATTTGTTATTTATTTCCCAATTTACAGATAAAAGCAATGAAAACAGCATTTTTACCTCAGTGGCATTACTCTGAACGTTATTAGTGGTGAATGAAAAGCTCTTTCTTGAACATCCCCAGAATGTCACCTCCACAACAGATTTTGGTCATGTCCACAACACAACATTTTTATTCTTTATATATATTATTTGTTATTTATTTCCCAATTTACAGATAAAAGTAATAAAAATAGAATTTTTACTTCAGTGGCATTTTACTCTGAACGTTATTAGGGGTGAATGAAAAGCTCTTTCCTGAACATCCCCAAAATGTCATGTCCACAACAAATTTTGGTCACGTCTGCAACACAACATTTTTGTTAATAAATCCATGGTAACAAGTAATTTCTATAATATCTTTTCAGATTTATGAAGCACAATTACTATTGCATTTAGTTAGTATATGCAGTTTTTTTAAAAGGTTTTCAATTCACAGGAAATTTGAAGTAACCAAAAGTAATTCAAATCAATGGTTGTTGTAGGAGTCACATCTGCAACACACTTTGAAAAATTATTTTCTCTGGATCTCAAAGAGATAGTCAAAATGTTTTCTGGCAAAATAAAAGGTACTTCAGGGGTAATTTTATGACATGACTCATTTCAATTCAAATAGTGTGGATCTGACGTTAGGAGACATTTCATACCCAAATTTTGCCTCTAAATGTCAGGTCCGCAACATGGAATTGACCCTACGAGTTATTTATAAGCTTTTAATGGACAAAACTCCCACCCAGGGCAAGGTAACATTATACTCCTAGCTACCTAATGCTGTAAATTTTGGGATTAGCTTTGGTAGGATGGGCTTTCTCTGGTGTAAAAGCTGCCTTTGTCTTTATTATTAGTGATTTGTAAGATTTTCAAACATAATTGCTTTAAGGGTGTCAATTAATGCCAGTTAGCATCAGTGTACTACCACCCATTATGCATTACAAGGACTCTTGCTTATACATGTGTTTGTTATGCCTTAAGCTCCTCCTGGAGCTGACAGAGCCGAATAATGAAATGCTACGTCAGTGGGTTGTGGTCAACAATGTGGGCTCAAGTGTCCTAGGTCTAAAATTTAGCGAAATTAGCGGGAATTAATAAGGGCTGACTTTTAAAACCGAGGAACTCTACAGTTTTTGTCAAAGGCTTTTTCCTATTTCCAGAGGTTTTAAGGAGAAAATTAATTTTTGAAAATTTTTAGGGGGTGTACCAAGTTTTTGGAGGTTGTTCTGTAAAAGAGAAGCGGCAAGGAAAATGACACCTTAAAGCAACAGAATTGGAAATCATTCATGTGAACGACTCAAAATCCGTACTTCTGTGGCAAAATCTAGCGCATGCGTGTATGTTATTCAGCTCTGTCCCTGGAGCTAAGACCATTGATGATCATCCTCCTCTCCCCTTGTTCTATCCTGGTCTAGTGTGGTCCAGGTATCCGCAGCCTCTGCTCCTCATCTGAGCTTGCGCCAGTTTTTGGTTGTCCTCTTGTCTATTTTATCTGGGGATGTGTCAAGATTTGATTTTTTGAGATCTGTATGGTTTCTCTGGTTGTTGGTTATTTTATTATATTATTTGAGCTACTTTGCCACTGGTGCTACATTTTAGTAAGAGGCATACTGCTAGGAAAGGAACCCCTTACTTTATAAGCCCTGTGGTTCCTTTGGGCTTCCTTGCCATTTCTCACAAACCTAAAATATACTTATACATATTATATGGTGGCAACAACAAAAAAAAAAACTGAAAAACGTGTTTATTTCAGAGCTGGGCTCTTTTTGAGCTCCCAACTACCCACCCTCTCCCCTCCCCTCCTCGTAAGGGATCCCTTTCTGCATAGCTTCAACCATAGTTGAATCACAATAGGAATTTAGCAATGCAGCATTGACTACATGTATACAGCTATGCCTCATTTGTTCCTTTGCCTTGAAAAAGAATAGCATTTTTTTCTTCTCCACAGGGAATATCTGTGGCCATTTTGGGGCCCACTTTGATAGAACTAGCATGTCAAGCTCAAACAGAATTGGCAGAAATGTCATTTGTGTTTACCGCACGGGCCATTGGCTATCTGATAGGAAGTATTGTTGGTGGTTGGTTATTTGACAAGTACAATGGACATTTGGTTTTATCACTGTCGTGTGTTTGGGCAGCTGTGATGATGTGGGCCCTGCCTTATGTCACCAGTCTCATTGGTCTTCTTCTTGTTGTGGTATTCATGGGCTTAGCCCTTGGATCAGTGGACACTGGTATGTAAACATGTTCAAGACTCATAACAAACATACCACTAACTTGGTTTAGTGCCCTAGTTCCAACGAGTGCCCGCTCTCTAACAATTAATGCCCCTGTTTAATTCTTTTTTGGTAATAAGTGCTCCTTTTGAATACCCTCATTTCAAGAAGCACCCCTATTTTGTTTCAGTGATAGCACTGTTAGAGTACAGGTACATTGAATCATACAAAGTTCATTTTTATTTAATTGCTCTGTGAAAGCCTTATTACAAAAACAGAGGTCTTCATCTCAATCTCTTAACTCAGTTATGTTCATGGGAGTGCACATGCAGTTCCTTCAAACCAATGATCTACTCTAAAACATCTTGGGACAATTTATTGGCTGGTCATTATAGCCAGGTTAAGGATCCAGGAAGAGCAAGTCCACTTTCCATAGTCTGCTGTTTCTTAAAAAAGGATTTGAAGGTTCCTGTCCCTAATAGGTGCCCTCCCTCCAGGAACCAAAAATTAATAAGCACCCTGAGAGCCTTAATATCAAATCATTATACTATTCATTAATTTATAATTTTTGGTCTGATTGAGTACAAGTGAGTGAGACCTGCATGCATAAGGGTGAAGTGATTTTTTCACTTGTGCCATTTTGCAAGAGAGGGTTGTGCACCAATGGAGTCCTCAAATCCTCAAATTGTGTAGGACCAATGCATTTTTCTGCCTTTTTTGGACCAGATGCTGGTAAAACAATCTGCTTTAGACTTGTTACCTCTGAATATTATGTCTGATCCAGCCCTCAATAGTTGTTTCTGCATTTTATGTTTCTTAAGGAGGCTGAACACAGTTTTGGCGTGGGCTTTTGTTGATGCGATTCAGCGTGCGCACATAAGGATTGCAAAAAACAAACATGCCGTCAACAGAGCAGTCATTTCATTTATTCAGCATGTACCCGCACTATCTGTGCCATTTTTCTCTATAGTTGGTGCAGTGTATAGAGGGCTTTAATCTTTTATTACAAAGATACGTCAGAAAAGTTAATGGTGCAAAGAACCCAGCAATTCTCAGCATTTTTGTCATTACCAAAAGAAACCAGTTAAATGCAGCACATGTGTAGTAAGTTAAAAAATTGCGATTAAATGGAAAATTGCTTTCTCGGAAATATGTCTATTTCTTTAGAACCACACGTTAGAATTTCACGAAATTTGACACAAAAATACTTTAGGAAATAAGTAACTGGAGTATTGAAAAAAATTGATTTTAAACAAAGGAAATTCTAGAAAATCGAGTGAATCTTCAACAAGGGATAATCAGAGATCTCTGTCAAATTGTTAGCAAAATGATGTTAACTTGTGAGTATTATTACATACTTGCTACATGCAAATTATAAAGAAAATCTAATGACTAGATTTTCCACAAAGAAACAAAACCGATTTTAATTGCCTATTTATATCTATTCATGTCGCCATGGCAATGGCACATACGTCAGCTTAACTATCTAAAAAACAAAGTTTGTGTTGTAAACTTGCTTGCTGCCAATTTTGGCGACCAAGAGATCAAGGGTTTTAGAGAAAATGGTGAAAGAAACAAAGGTATCAAAAACTGTGTTCAGCCACCTTAAACTATTTGGGTTTTACCCTATCTCAGGCTGGCCCCTGTTTTAAGGCTTTTGCTTTTAAGAAAAAGGTTTCAACTTGTTGAAAATACTCAAGAAACTGAAATAAATTTTGGTTACTATGGTGACATTGGCAGGAGAGAAAAAATTGAAATGACTCAATTTGAGCTGAAATTTAATTGTGATAAATATGCTACAGAATATTGGAAGTAAACAAAGGGGGATCGACCATCAGCTCAAAGCTAACAAGGTCTTAAGCTTAGTTTGGCCCTTTTGTGGTCAGTGAACTACTCTGTACTGTATGTATCCCTTTCATGAGGAATATTTGGACAAGTTGTGGGGAGGGTGTGGTACTAAAACAGTCAAACATAGAACAATGAAAAAAATTAAATGTAAGTAATTAAATAAACAAAGAGACACAGAAAAAATCTGTCAGTTTTCATAAGAAAGAAAAGTAAGAAAATCTGAATTCTTTAACTCCTGAGAGTTACTAGCATCTAATTTATTCTCAAAATGTAAGAGGTGGATCAAACATCAAGGTTTTGGGAATAAAAAAGATGATCAATTAATTTGTGAAGGAGCTCTTAATTGTGCGATAAATTATTCTTGCCAGTGCCATTGGATATGTACTGAGGAGAATCTGTATGCTGTTATTAGACTTGAAGGACTAAACTTGAAGGGCTCCTTCAGCTTGAGACTTCTGCACCCTCTTACCATCACCTTTTGTATCACAATTGTTAGTAATGTCGCAATCTGATTGACCAAATTTGCCGTTCCGGTCAATAAGAGTACAGACAACGCTGCTCGCGTCAACGTGTCACGCACTGAACGAATGTTTTTATTGGACGTCAATATTGTGGTAAACAGAAAAATCGACAGTGGTCTAATGCGGTCTGTACTCTTATCTACTACGATATTCGTTATCACAGTGCGTGGTCAAAATGTTGTGCGCCTTGTGAGTCCACAACATTTGTGATGACGAATATCGTTGTCGATTAGAGTACAGACCACGCTAAACCACTGTCGATTTGTGAATTATCCAGTAGTGTCTTCCGCTACGACGTTGTGTAAGGCCAAGTGCCAATGTAATGCTCTCCTAATTTTGAATTAACCTTTTTTCAGGTGGCAATGTCCTCTTACTGAACACGTGGGGTAAGAAGTCAAGGCCTTACATGCAAGCTTTACATTTTGTATTTGCCCTAGGGGCATTTGTAGCCCCGCTCATAGTACAACCCTTTCTTGAAGATGGAATCACGAGCCCAAACATTCCCACAAACGCAAGTAACGACACGAGCAGCACGACCAGTAGCATAAGTGACAGTCCGGTTTGCAGTAATCACACTGGCGAGAACCCAATGCCTGTTACGTGGGCCTTCTGGCTCGGCTCCATTCCACTTGTTGCAACTGGTGTTGGATTCATGGCTTTTGTTGTGGTTAGAGCTTGCCATGTACAGAGTATACAAACTCAAAATGAAGAGACGTCTAAAACCAACGAGGGTAGTCTTACGTACAAAGTGGTCATTCTGTCGCTGTTTTCAGCTTTTCTCTTGCTCTATGTGGGCTTGGAAGACGCCTTTGGGGGCTACATTTTCACGTTTGGCGTAAAAAGCCGACCAAAGTTGTCCGACGACAAAGCCGCGTTCCTTACGTCCGCGTTCTGGGGAAGCTTTGCGTTAGCCCGGCTGGTATCTGTACCTCTAGCAAGGTACATGAGACCCTCGAAGATGATATGTATTGACATGGTTGGCTGCTTCATAGGATCAGCAGTGCTGGTCTCGCAATTCGCCCATGGCCAGTGTGACAGATCCGATCCCACAAAGCTATGGATAGGAACAATTATTTTAGGCGTTTCTATGGCATCAATCTTTCCTTCGGCTTTAAACTTTGCAGAGTATTTTGTAACAGTTTCGGGAAAAATAGCTTCTGTTCTTTTAGTTGCTTCAAGTTCTGGGGGCATGCTTGTTCCTTTAGCAGTGGGGCACACGATTGTTGAATCGTCTGTAGGACCATGTTCTCTGATGGCATGCTCTGTCATAATCAGCGTATTGACATTTGTGATATTTTGGTTGATTAAGGGAGCCGGTCGTTATTTTAAACGTCACGGGGATGGTTTTGTGGGGATGCGTTATCAAGCGAAGAAGAAAAGGGCCGAAGAGGAAAGCAAACGCCAGCCCGACGAGGTTTTGCAACTTCTGGAAGAGAACAATGAGAGATTCAATGGAAGTCAGGAAAGGGAAACTTAGAACTTCTAATTTACAATGTGCAGTTTTTTAAAGTAATATTTAAACAACCTTTCAATTGTGTCGAAAAAAGCAACCGAACGACAGGAATCAAAATAAGTTATATAAAAAAGTTAACATCACCATAGGCCAACGAGAACTCAAAGTAACTTTATGTGAATCGCCTCAACAGCGCGTAATTGATTTTCGCAGCTGTTTCAGTTTTATTTCGCTTGGTTGAGATAGTTTCTGTGAGTTCCCTGGACGAATTAAAGCGCGCAGCGGGGCAAACGCAGTGCCATCTGGGAAAAATTTAGACATTGAGCGTTAACATTTCTCGACGCTTTGAAGAGTTTCAAATTTGGCGAGGTGCAAAGTCTGTTTTCTGGCGAGGTGCAAAGCATCTTTGACAAGTTTCAAAGTTCGTATACGTGGAAATACGACTTTACACATTGGTTTCAATGAGTAACACCAAAGTCACCTTTTCGTCGTTCTTTTTGTTGTAAATCAGTGTATTCTGGTAAGAGTCGAACGAGATTACAACTCAGTTACTCTCCAATCAGAAGAGATTATTAGTTTATTAAGCACTTATTACTGCGAAATAAATAATTCAATACGGTAACTAATGGTATCTCGTTCGAGTTATTTACAATAATGTCACAAATAAAACAGCTTCAAAATGATCCAGTAACCCTCTTTAGCCCATGTAAAGGACTAGACTGTTATTGTAAAGAAAATCAAGGATAATTTATTAACACTTTCAGTGACCTCATGATCAACTTGGCACTCTGAGACAAATTTTATAACAATAAACTGAAGCCGTCCTTTTCTTTCAAAGAACTGTAATGACACTAATCTAAGTGAATAAAGGCTGACAGTTTCTAAAGAAACTGTTTGGGACTGCGTCGGTGGGGGTAACGAAATAATTTGGATATATCAACAAAGTTGAAATCGTTACGGTGGCCAATTTACCATTTCAACTTTGTTGACATATCCAAATTATTTCGACACTAAACTAAGGTTTTGTTTACGCATTTGCGACAAAAAAAAATTGGAAAATTGTTTTCGTGAACAAAGTTACTGCAAAGTTTACAGTAAGCATGAAAGTTTCTTCATCCGCAGGAAATTATGAGGCCTCGAGAAACCCGAGTCGGCGACAGGTCCGCTAAGGGTCTGGAACTGATATTAGTTCTACACCCCCGATAAATCTCTCCCTGACTAGTTTTATACCTTCCCGGGGCTCTCCCGGAGCGGAGAACCACGCGTCTTGCAGCGCTAATAATAAAGGGCCTGCTCGAAGACTGGGTTTACAGATAATATTCACCCATTTGAACAAACATCGTTTGAGGTATAGCCTACAGAAATTCACAACTAGTCTGGACGACTGAATCGGTGACGGAAATAGGGAAGGAATCTCTTATAGAGGAGGGGAGGGCCCCCTACGGAAGCCAGCATCAGATGCCCGCCTCGTCGGATTAACTCATTGAGGATGAAGACAACAGCGTTAGAAAAATACAGCAAAAATGACTTGAAACTGAACTCCAAGTAGAAGTAAGAAACAGGAAATGATTCGATGATACTTATGATATAATTTGTATGATGGGGCCACCATCATAAAGAAAATTTTGAATATCCACTTGGTTTACTGAGGTAACACTCTTTTCTGTTGAGCAACCAAGCCTCTGGCAGTTGGATACTGCGCAGAGTCCGATGAACCCTGCTGATGATTGGTAGATGGCGGGCCTCTACTTCTGCGCCTGAGAAAAATGAAAGAGACTGTTTATGACACAGGTTATGAAGGGGAGAGGGCTAGATATTTTGGAGGATTGGAGGGTGACAGGGGAACTGTGAGTACAGCATGCCATTCAGAGTCTGTGTCATCACGTTTTACAAACAATGTCACAGACTGCACTAAAAAGGAAAAAGCGAGGGAGTAACGACAATTTGACAAAAAAAAAGATAAAAATAACACCGTGTAAGTTGCTGTTACTCTCGAAACCTATTGCTGAAATGAAGTGAGGGCATCTCACCCAGTTTTAGGTCGCTCGCCATGATCGTGCTTGTCTCTTCTCTTTGACCTCACCTTAGTTTTACTGAGAAGAATACTGAAAAAAAAAAAAAAAAGAATGAACAAGGAAATATTAACGGCGTGTTTCTCTGTAGAAGTTCAGGCCATCGCAACGATAACCTTCCAAACTTAATTGCCTGTAGCAGTTTTTGCGTTGTCGTAGACAAACATGGCCACCATTTTTGTTTTGGCACAACAGTGTACAGAAGTAAGTCTCCTTCGCAGCTCAGTCATTCTTTAGGATGTCACACAACGCTCATCCTAAGACCTGTCCAGGGTGATCGTTGTGCGACATCCCAAAAACCGACTGCGAAGGAAACTACGGACATGGCCGCTGTTTCCTTATTTTGGCACTCCAACATGGCCGCCGTCTTATTGTTTTGGTATATCATCAAGGCCACCACTTTAATTGTTTTAGTAAATCAACAGGGCCGCCGTGAGGTCATGTGAAAACGCTCTATACTTTTCTCTTACAACGCGCAAACACGGACTTAACGTCATGACCACACCACAAGAAGTTACAGCTTACTCAGCATCGAGCGTAAGATCTTCCTCATCCTGCAGAGCCGCATCCAGAGCAGCTTGGACCTTGGGTGCCACAGCAGGCCCTTCATATTCCCTGGTTGTCCTGTTCGGCATGTCCAGCTCAATCATGATAATGTTCTCGGCCTTAAAAGAGAGAGACATAGAATGATTGTAATCTCAAGAGTTGCCTTTAGGATGACAATAGTAGTTATCAGTCAAACATGCTTTCAGTTTAAGATTACATTAATAAATTGAGCTAACAATAGCCCTTCACCTTTTTTTGATACCATATTTGAATATTCTAACATATTTGAAGATTTAATTTTCCTGTTAAGTTATGTCACGGATTCATGAATAATTTGTGAGAGGGAATCGATCAGGATAACAAATGAATATACCACAGAGGTATATCCAGCTCTTACGGCAAATAAGACCAGTTGTCAAATAAATAGTCCCTTCCTGGCTTAAGAAATACTTTCACCATGACTGGAGAACTCAAAACAAAGGGGGGAGGGGACAGGTGGTGGACCCACCTCCTGCCCCCCCCCCCTCCCGATCACGACCACCATGAAGTTGTACCTTGTATCGCATGTGGCCACCCATGGCCGCCGCCATTTTAGCATATTCAGTGATAGGTCGTCTGTTGCCCACGGCTGAAACTGGTCGTTTGGCCATGGCTGGTTGGCTGTTCATTGGAAAGTAAAAGCAACCATTAACAAACAAACACGAGCATAGAGATGCCATCCTCAAGACAAGCGCCTTTATGCGAGATCATACACCACAAAGTTTTGAAAAAGACACCTGATAGATAATTCTTGGTTTATTTTTGAAGTCATGGTTATTGAAAGAGTTCAGTTTGAACCGCGGAAGATAAATTAAGGATAATAAAAAAAAAATAATAATAATTGAAATAATATACGCTCATACAAATTTCAGGACTCAAACAAGATTTGAGTTTGTAACGTCGTAAAGATGGAGTAATACGTTAACCAACCGAGATATGAAGCCACTAACACTTAGGAGCAGGTGCGATGAGACAATTAGATTTGGGAAGACTGAACCGGTGAAACACGAGCATTCATAGGGGGCTCTGATTACTTTGCTCAACAATCGAACACAAAGGCGGGAGTCAATCTTTTGCAGGAAAATAATCAAAGCAGTTTTGAACACAATTTTGGCGGCACCTAGAGTTGTAACGAAAGTTTCGTTGAAGAAGTGCAGTGTGTAATAATCATCCAAAAGTCCTTCACCTGCCGTTCTGAGAAGACGGTTTCAACCTCCACTCCTCGTTCTCTTCATCATAAACAGCTCTGTTGGTAAGTTTGACACGTTCGTCTGGGGGAATGAAGTTCTCTATTATCAAAGACCTTTAAAGGAATAAGGCAAAGTATCAGAGAATGGTTCAAACATCCACCAAAAATGATTCAATATCCCAGTCATTGGCGCTGAAGAGACAGGTCTACAAGTCTTTTGTCTTCAACAAGAAACGTGCATCGCGTTAGCTTTTTTAAAAGTTAATTGTACAGAAAAACTTTTCTCTGGATGCATCCGCAAATATCCGTTGCACTTGATTTTCATTTGGACCTTCTTTCCGTTACAAGTTTCCTAACAAGCACCTTCACTAGAAACCAGCTGTCGTGTTAGAGAATTTTATCGTCGATCTTTTCCCCTGCTCCAAAAACGTCACACTCTTTTTTTTTAGATGTCAGGCAATGCTAATCGCGCGTGACATTTCAGAGGAAAGGGAGCTATGAGAAAGAGACTTTTCAGTAAAAAAAAAAAATTGTCGTAGAAAACTCGCTGCCATGTAAAGATTGCTTACATTTAAGTTCCCTCTGAAACGATAATTTGTTTCTATATTCTGATACAATTGCTATGTCACCTGAGAGAATCATGGCGAAAAGGGGCTTTTCATGGTCCAACGTTAAAATAGTCTTTGAAGACGAGCACTTTAGTTGCGGTGTATGTCATACAGAGTAACTCACTTTAGCTTCATTTCCTTGGTAAGATCCTCTTGAGCCTGCTCTAGTTCCTGTCTTTCCCGAATATGCGCATCTTGCAGGTCAGCGATTTCAGAGCGGGTAGTCTGTAACTTAGCAAACAGCTATAGGAAAGATTTCAACATTCAAATAGCAAATTGTGACAAAAAAAAAAAAAAAAAAAAAAACTGACGAGGTTAGATTTAGCTATTATCTATTTATTCATCTATTTATTTCATAACAGTGGTTTATCTCATTTTCAATTTCCCTCAAGACTCTTTGTTAAACTTCTGTGACCGTTATTTGACAAGAAGCTTTCCGAGTTACTTAAACTACTGTACTAGTCGAGTATAAAAGTGATGAGCTGAGCGCGTATCAGCGGTATGCAGTCCAAACGGCGCCAGAACAGTTGCATTCATTATCATAACGAATCTCCTTTTTTTATGTTCAATCTTTAATCTTAGTGGATTAAATGCCAACTCCTCTCAAATGAGAGAATTCCATGAGAACACTGAGGCGCAGTATCATCTTTGTTTCGCCAGTACTTTTATAATCAGCGTAAAAGCCACACGAATAAAGGGCTAAGTTTCAAAAGAAATTGTGATGCTGCATCGGTGGGGTGTTACAAGATAATTTGGTTTTTTGAGTTTTAACTCAAGACTTAAATGTCAATATTAAAATATTGTAAATTGGCCACTGTAAATAATTTCTAAAGCTGGCATTTCGAGGTTGGCCCTTTAACGCTAAAAACTTCTTTTCGATGGCCAATTTACATTGTCAACCGCTCAGTTGATAAGTCCAAATTTTATTTTATAATCAGACCTGTCTGACCAGATTCTGCTATGAAAACTAGGAAGTGACTGAGGTTCCTATCTCTATTTGTGATATTTAAACAGATTTACCTTTTTCAGTTTCTTAGTTTTGCTGTCCACTTCTTGTTGAAGAGTTGAGTAATTTCCCTTTATTTCTACTGCATTTTCTTCCTTTTCATCCAGCTTTTGCTGTATTTCTCTTTCGCGGCGCTAAAAATAAAACACAATAGAAAGCACATGTCAGAAAAAAAAAAAAAGAAAGAAAGAAAAGCATAACACAACGGAAAGTTTTGAACTAAAAACAACAATTTGCGAGATTGGGCGTAACAAAAAATATAGTCTTAAGGCCGTCATTATGAGCGCTTTGGCACGATTGATTCCTCGCCCGCCCGAGTCTTCGGGCAACGCAAGCCGACGAGAGGACATTAGTACCCGACCCCCAGCAAATCTCTCCCCGATTTGTCCCAAATCTCTCCGTGGGCGAACAAACGGACGTTCTGCAGCGCTACCGATGCTTATCGATAGTCAAAATCAGTGATTTCATAACTGAAAGTCTTGATTGTTTTTTATGTAAAAAAATGGTGTGGCTAATTAAAAAACAATACACAAGAAACCGACTTTTTCACACTCAGAACAATTACGACTATCCCGTTACAGCTGTAGCCCGCGAGACACTGTAGTGCTGTAAGACGCGCAAGATTTGAGATGAGTGGGAGGAAAGGTTTGCCGGAGGTGTGGAACGGTCCTAGAGGTGTGCGACGGTTCTAGAGGTTTGGATCACGGTCTTAGGGGTGTGGGACGGTCTTGGAGATGTGGATTACAGTGCTGGTGGTGTGGAAAGGTTCTAGACCCCTGGCCCCAGGAAGACCTCCCGCTGACTCATGTTGTTCAAGTCCCCGATCTTTCCCGCGGGCGAAGATACATTCGAGCCGAAGCGCTTAAAATGACGGCCTGCTTGCATGCTATTACAGCTTTATAACTTTCACTGGAAATGAAGGGAATTGAACATAATTAAATGCGCTCCAGGTACCATTTTTCTCAAGATATTCCGTTCGTTTTCCTGCTGAATTAAAACATACCTGTTGTTCAGCGATCTGTATTCTTTGTTCCTCTAGCGCTCGCTCTTGTTCCGTGGTTTTATCGACAATGCTCTTTCCCCCGACCAGTAATTTACTCTCCATCATCTGCGGAGGAAAGGTTCATCACTAAAATGTTCCACAGCAACATTACCTCACTCTTAGCTGAGTCTGTTTAACAGCTAGCTTACTTTTTTTTTAATTTACTTAAGACCTGACTGGGCTTCCAGTTCTTCAGGCAACATTGCTTTACTCTTAGCCAAATGACATAGAACAGCCAGCTTACCTTTATTTTTGATTTTAGACCTGTCTGGGCCTCCTGTTGTTTTTTCAACTGCTGAGCTTTCTTCTGGATCTCACCCATAAGCTTTTCCTTTTCCTAGAGGAAAACGAGCGTTGCTTTATCACATTACCTAACCCATCTGTTTATGTATCACTGAGGCATTCATTCCAGGGGGATCAAAGATATGAGACAGAGGGAGAGAGACAAATAAGACTTTATAACATAAATCACGTACAGTGCACGCTCTGATTGGTCAATTCAGTGTCTACCATTTGCCCATAGGTGTACGCTGCTGACGTGAGCAAATGTTTCCAACAAATGTTTCGCAAGAAATTGTTTTTTGTGTTATCGAAAAAAGGTAAGCACCACAGCGAACACTATTGCATTCTATATGCACTTAGGAGGTTTGCTAAGCACTCAAGAAGCTACCATTTGTTAGAATAAAAACGAACCAAAACGACTCAATCAAACAGACTTGTCTAAACACAAACCTCTGCCATCATGCTATGATTTTCTTGCAGCGCTTTCTTATCCTCTTCAAGTCTGGCCTGCTCCAACTTGATTTTATCTTCCCCATTCTGCTCGCCCCCTTCCACGCCTTCTTCCTCTATTTCTTCAGTTTCACCATTTTCTTTTAGTCTTCTTCTTCTGACTTTCTTTGATCCCCCTCCCCCACCACCTCGTTTTTCCAGTTCTCTTTTTAATCTGCAAATGAACCAGACAACTTGAATGGAACAGTGAGTATCTGCAGAAAGAAACAGCGTGAAGTTTTATATCATTTCAGATACGTTTTAATCAAGTGTGAGGTAAAGGTGGCTGAGTATTGGCGGAGTTAGTTTTTTTGCGTCTTTATTCGAGTTCCAAAAAAAAACAAAAAAACAAAAAAAACGCAAAAAGAACGAGGGTAATATTCAGCCACTATGACTTAACAAGCTTGATCAATAAAGGATTTACTATAAGCAAAAAGATTTTGCTATAAAAAGGAATCAAGAATGACTTAATTTTCAATGTTTTTCTTTGTTTTGACCTGTCTTCTGCCGCTTTTGGGACTCCATTGCCGACATTGTCCAAAAATGATAAACTTTGTAAGTCCGCTTACCTCATGTTTTTTTAGCGCGGGATCAAAGCAGGTAATGCTACGAGAGCAAGATGTGCCCATCTTGCTCGCTAGGATAGCCAATCAGACCATCTTGCCCGCTTGGGTAGCCAAGCAGAATAAATAAAGGATTCGCTTGATCTTACCCGCGGGCGCTGCAAGCTTTATAACAAAATGTGAGACACAACATGTTGTACCTAACAAAGTGGCCGATGATTTCATACTAGTAAATATTTTATCACCTTAAGATCTCTTCTTGAAATTCCCTCAACAAGGCATCCTTTGGATCTTCATTAATCTTCGGTTTGTTTTTAATGTTCTTGGCCCTGTTTGCATATCTGTGACCAATAAAAAGATATAAACATTAATTTTTTCAAAAAGCGCAGACAATAAATTGAAACGGCTTGGCGAGTCTCGTATGTGCAGAGGAAAAATATGACGTCGTTATTAAGCAAACGTGATCTCTTTAAGACATTCTTTTGTCATTACTATTTAAACAAAATACCTGAGTGTTGTGATCGTTTCCTCAAAATTATAGCTTGCCGGACCCTAAATGACACAAGAATAAAAAAAAATTATGCAGAGACTGCTAAGGATCTGTGAACTTACATAAAACCTCTACTCTACACAAATGGCACACGGTACATTTCCGCTTGCGCCGCTTAAAAGTGAAGAAACTCGTCCAACTTTGTCGGTTTAGTTCTGTAAGAAAAGTACCCTACTGATAACTAGTGCCGCGTCCCCGCAAACCTCTCCCGGGCTCGTCTCCAACCTTACCGCGAGCGTCCTGCCCGACTAATTAGGGCCTGCTCGTGAGCTAAAAGAAAAATCAATTTGGTTTTTTTTTACTATACCAAAGGAATTTTAAAACCAATTAAGAAAAAGTAAAAAAAAAAAAACTTACTATGTTGGCAACCATTACTGTGCGTGCGTTTCCTCCGAGAGAATCTGCTCGCAGAGAAAAGATGAATTTACTGACTGCGAACAAAACTTTGATCAACGAATAATATTTTACAACATATAACCACAACGTTCATGTATTTACCTTGCAGTAATCTTGTTAACTTGGAATCTCTGTACGGTACATGCGTACTTTTTCCATCCACCTACGGGAAAAGCAGTCAATCCGCTGAATATTATGATCAAAGCAAAGCTTAACTAGTACAATCGAAGCAAGTGAGTTCGTCACGTCCCTTTGTCTTCTGTCAGTTCAGCTTCTTGCTCTCTCTGCCCCAGCTTTGTTTCGGCATGTCATTTTGCTGCACTGATCCCTTCAGCGAGCGTAATCAAATAACGTCAACAACAGATAACGTCTCTCTCTACTACGAAAAAAAAAACTACCAAACAGAAGTTTTACTTACTAATGCAGATATCACATTGCCTAGAGCCGAGAGAGACAAGTTGATTTTAGTAGCCTCTTTGAGTCTTTCACCCTAAAACACAAAACAAAGCAAAAAATAAATTACACCACATTTCGCTCCCGACGTGCAAACCTTTCCCAGGATCCAAGAGCCTCTGAACGCCATATACATACACACAGACTTCACATAATTTATTTTGTAAAGCAGGTTAGAAAAGAAAAGGTGTGGACCTGCGTCAAATCAAGTCATTCTGGCGCATTGTGAACTGGGTGCTAGCTTTTAGTTCTTACCGTGGCCCCAGTCTTCGTCTGCCTCTCACTGCCAGCGAGATCCACCATATTCAGTTTACCAACTCGGATGTGGTTTTCACCATCTGCACCAGGCTGAAAGCAAATTTAAAATCCGTTTAAAGTTGAAGTCAATTGTAACAAGTAAGCAGTCTTAAAGTGCACCTACACTCAAAAAATTTTTTTCGCTTAACGAAGTAAGCTTATTTTTTTGAGTATTTCTGCGCAAAAATTTTTTTATTTGCTCAAATCTTCAATTTTCTATGCCCAGTCAAAATACGGAAAATCGGCCGCCATCTTGCCCCACGACCGAGTTTAAAGAAGAATGGCTCTAGCGGGTAATGTGACGTCAAATCGAGAACACGAAAGTCTGCATCTCACACATTTTCACTTGTTTGGGAAGATTGTCGTCGATATCGTCCGAAATATGCCGACTAGGTGTGTTGTATGAAGATTGTATGGAGCGCGATACCCTCTTNGACGTTCTTCTTAGTTTCTCTTGTTGGCCAAAGGAAAACAAACAGTTTTTTTTTTTTCAAGAAATAGATAACATTTTTCCCGTATTTTAAAAGACATAATTACCTCACTGCACTCAATTGTAACGATGAAGATAGCGTGGGACCTGGATGAATGTTCGTTCATGTTGGTTGCTCTTTTATTTTGAAATGAGAATAAAGAAAAGCATCAATTAGGGGATTCTCAGTCGATCCAATACCATTCTCCAAACTAATATCATAAGAATTGTATGACAGGCAGAAAGGTGAATTAATATTGAGATCTTGACGATGAAAGAGTTTAGTAACATTTCTCTATGAACATTAACATCAACTGTCCACCGCCTTCCAGTTAGCTCAATTGGTTAGAGCGCTGGACTGTTGTGCGGGAGGTCGAGGGTTGGAGCCCCGGCCGGACCAACACTCGTGATCTTAAAATAACTGAGGAGAATGTGCTACCTTTCTATAATATCAAGAAATGGATAGACATTCTAGTCTTCTAGGATAAGGACGAATAAACCGTAGGTCCCGTCTCCTGCATCTTTTCATTAGATAATTTGATTAGGCAGGGGACGTTAAAGAATCTACATCACGAGACAACTGTGATGTGGTCTGGCCTGTTTACTGGGAATTGGGGGAGGGGGCAACTGTAAAAATTCGCCTTTGTTGATTGTGAACTGCCACCAGCAGTCTGGTAAAGTCCCCCGCACAGTATTGTAAAGCGCCTTAGATAAGAGCGCTATAGAAACAAGAATTATTATTATTATTATTATTATTATCATTATTATCATTAGTATTATTATTATTATTATTATTATTATTATTATTATTATTATCAGAATGAAAACTAACTGGCGGGGTAGTTATACAATTCCTTCTACAGGAGTGTGTACAATATTTTACCATATTATCATAACACTTACCCCACAGCTCTATTTTGGTTGCCCACGTTCATCACGTGTTCAATCTCTTTTACACTTTTACATACAAATGACTGAAGATCCTATAAGAAACAAATCATTACAAAAAAAAAAAACAAGCATATTCAAAGAGTAACACTGGGAATACTCGAGAAAGACAATTAATTAATTATTCCAATCATAAAGTCACAATACTCAGGCTCAAGGCTTTTAGTTTTCTAGGTGTGAAACTGGTCCTAATGGGGATCTCTGTTAACAAATTAAAGTGGTAGGCAAGTGGCCCATCCACCCAGAAATTATAATGGTTTCTGTAGCATGAAGCAACTAGGAGTATGCTACTCACCCCTAGATGAGATGCCAGTCTATTGCAAGGTTACCCTCCCCCCACAGCATTTACTATAATAATAGTTTGTGTAGCATGAAGTGACTAGGAGTACTACTACTCCCCCGTGGATGGAATGCCAGTCCATTGCAAGGTTACCCCCCCCCACAGCATTTACTATAATAATAGTTTGTGTAGCATGAAGTGACTAGGAACTACTCCCCCCTGGATGGGATGCCAGTCCATTGCAAGGTTACCCCCCCCCACAGCATTTACTATAATAATAGTTTGTGTAGCATGAAGTGACTAGGAGTACTACTACTCCCCCCTGGATGGGATGCCAGTCCATTGCAAGGTTACCCCCCCCCACAGCATTTACTATAATAATAGTTTGTGTAGCATGAAGTGACTAGGAGTACTACTAATCCCCCCTGGATGGGATGCCAGTCCATCGTAAGGTTACCCCTCCCCCTAAGCTTTTCATCAGGCTTCCCTGACAATTTGCCAGTACCCATGTACTACCCACAGGTGGAGGATAGAGTTGTTAAAGTAAGGTGTCGTGCCCAAGAACACAAGACAATGACCAGACCAGGTCTCCAAACCAGAATTTAGACACAGAGTCGCACACAATAACCATCTAACTCTCAGAAGTGATTAACATGGAACTTCTCCCTACAATATCCATACATTACCCAGCAAACAGGTAATGAGAATACTCAAACTTATCAAGTAGGAGTTTTTACCTTTGTTGATTGAACACCAAATTCTGGTATAAACCAATTTACAAGAAAATGTGTTGCAGCTACAGGGGAGAATTAACAATCTGACCTTGGTAGTACAGGGTTAACTGTTAGGCTAGTGCCTTTCCCACCAAATTGTCTATATCACAACAATGAGATATTTTAAGGGTGCACTGCACATGAATGACCCCTATCCACTGTAGCAGGCAGTAGCTGAGATGCACTAATTTTGTGCTGTCTGCTGGATGTACATGACTTGTATACTGACCTTGACATACACCCCAGTATCTGGTCTTTCCTTCAGCTCCAGTCTTCTAGATTGATCTTTTGATAATAAATCTCTGATATCTTCCTATAGAAGTTGTTAAACATTTGCACCCATCCATTAGTTCATTATTTTGTAAAAGCATGTACATGCATTTATGTAACTTGAATCATTTCACATTCCCTAAATTTCCCAAAACTATGTGATAGGCATTTAAATAAAGCAATAAATTGTAGTGACAATCATGTACACTTTATATTCGAATTTACTTTAATTTTTTACTTTAAAACTACAACCCCCAACTAATTGTCACCACTTTTCCATCCAGCCAGGTCACCCCATTCTGCAACTGGTACAGGGCTGTGGTCTAACAGCACCCGGTGGCCCCTGGTGCCTTACTTTTGCTCTTGGGTGACTCACGAATCCTAGTTTTTTCATAAAAAGCATATGACATTGTTGGGCACCCTAGATTTCACAGTTTCAGGGCTCTGGGCTCCCTTCAATTTTTGTTAGAGCACAGCCTTGACGTATAGCAAACCTACATCTTTCTCCTTTTTCTTACTTTGAACACCAATATGCCTCTATCTTAAGTTATACCATTATCGGGAGAATGGGAAATTTGTATCTGTGGTTTATATTGAATAACACTTTAAAAATGGCCAGTCATGAAAACTACATTGCAATAACACCCTGCTGCAAACTGTCCTCTAAAGGCACCATGGTTACTGCTGATCAGACTAAGTGTAAAGTATACCTGGTAAATTTCAAGGTATGAAGCCCTGACCAAGTATTGTTGATTCTGTGTTCTGGCTATGTGAGTAAAGATGTGCTCAAAGGAATTTGGAATCACTCCTCGCAACACTGGGTCTGATCGTACACCTAAAGCACAAAAGAAAAGGATTTAAATAAGTATTTGAATCTTAATGATTGCAAACCAACTTACAGCATTAATTCTAAAATAATTCGAGCACCCATATGACATTCAGAGAAGGAATGGTTCAAATATTAGATAAACGTTACCTTCCATGGTGAATGTTTTCCCTGTTCCAGTCTGGCCATAAGCAAATATTGTACCTAAATATGGAAAATAAGTGAGTTGTCTTAATTCCCCTTCAAAGAGTCAAGTCCAACCTCTAATCAGGGTCTGTATGTTATGGCCACCAACACTGACTTGAATAGTTGATTAATAGCATATATTAACATAGTGAGATAATATTAAGCACAAAGAGATGACTTTAACTCACTTATTCCTGCAAAGATTGCAAATTTTTGGGGCACAAATCCTGAAAGCAAAGCCACCTAGAGAGAGGTCTGCAATGGGTCTGGGCACAGGAAATGAGAGCCTATGAGGAATACAGTAGTCTTGCCTAGGAATGCATCTGGTTCCATTTCTCATACTGCACCCCTTTGATACCTTGTGCAAGCGGGCTTCATTTGCTGACTTAAATTGTCTTGTGACCAGAGCTACTCCTGTCAGAGCTCTGAATAGAACCTGCTCACAGTCTACACCGGTGCACCACTAAGTATTTGCCAATTGTCAGGGAAAACAGGTGAAATAGATAGTGTGGGGTACGTAATATGCAATGAATGTCACATTACATGTGACACAGGAAGAGTAGCTTTGACTGACACCTGTTCATTTATGACCCCAACTTCAACTTTGACTTTAACTTCAAGTAACTAAAACTAGAAGATGCTCTGCCAAGTTGGACAGTTGGTCGTATAATACAATGTAATTTGGATATATCAACAAAGTTCAAATGGTAAATTGGCCACTGTAACAATTACAAAAGCTGACGTTTCGAGCGTTAGCCCTTCGTGGGAATGAATAAAGGCTGATATATCCAAATTATTTTGTTACCCCCACCGACGCAGCCCCAAACAGTATCTTTAGAAACTATCAGCCTTTATTCACTTATAATACAGTCAATGTTTTTCTAGTCTGCCACAGAAACCTGAGGAATTGCTTAAGGGTACTCAGTTATCAACAAACAACCATTAAAAGAAGCACTTTCACCAACAACACTCTGCTCATGGGGAACCATCCCACCACATGAATATCACAGGAAATTAATGAAATTAAAAACTAACCATTATATCCTTCTAGTACAGAGTCCACTAACTGTCTGAAGGTTTCATCATAGAGGTCAATCTGTTTTGAACTACATGGAGAGAACACAGGGGGAATTAGGGAATTATAGCTAAAAATCATGGTTATCTTCAATCTCCTCTTGCACTCTTTACCTAGTTTGCCAGTCGCACTCTCCATGGTTGTATTCAGTCATTACCTTATGAGCTCACAAATTTGAAAATCACCTCAGTTTGACCTTCTATTAAACAATCACACTACTTTAAGTTTATAAACCTCTTCAGGTGGCTGGTATATCTGCTGATAATGTGCTCAGCTAAAAGGTCATCTGAACAATGAATATTTGGTAGAGAAGCAAAGCTTTGAGGACATATGTGACATTTTAGGGACAAACTCTCGGCCAAGGACATTATCAGCCGACATACCAGCATACCAGAAGGGGCTGCATGGCTGCTTGGAGGTAAATAGTACTGATCAATGCAAATCATTTCCAAGTCTGAGCCAATTGGCAAGCACAAGAAGCGTTATTCACCTTTCTGCGTGGTATCTAATAATTATCAATTAAGTATCAACAGTATAAATAGTTAATATCTTTGTTTTTATGCAAAGTTTATCCCAC